TGGCTTATTACGTTTCACATTGAAACCAAACACGCGTCGCTATCAGCAGGTGTTTCAAACACTGCGTATTCTCATGACTGTCAGGAAATCTTTAGAATAGCAATAAAGATTACTGCCAGATGACTTTTAAACAGGTTCTGTCGTTTCTATCTCTGCTCTTTTGTAAATCGAGAAGTCGTCCTGTAATAGTTTGCTTTGATTTAATTTATTTTACGGCTTATCAACCTTAAAGGGTTATTTAATGCCGACATGTTTACTAAAATAGATTCGTATGAATAGAATATGAATTCGTTTTAGGAAATCAGTTTGTAGATCAAGTTTCATTGACGTATTCTCCTAAAGAGTTTTTTTGTCCCGGGTCATATGTATTGTAGATATTTTTTTTTCAAAAATGTATTGCTGACATCTTTACTATAAAAATCCTATTTTTATACTTTCATAGTGTTTTGACCTCGGTTTTTTTTGGGGGTGTTAACTATTTGTCCTTAGTGGGACACGAACAGGTGCTACTGGGAACAACAGCAATTAAAAGGTGGTTTCACGCTCCTCAAAAATTCCGATCAGAATCCTTGCTGCCGGATGTAGTTTATCGTTATACCCAGGACGTTGCACTGTAATGCAATTCAAAGATTAACCACAGACTGCAGTGGTTGCATCCTAGCTCACCTCGTATAATCATTGGTTCAGAAACACAGTCGATTATTATTATTATTTGTTTATGTTATGTTTCTTGCTTTGTATTCTGTAAAGCCGGGTCCAAACTATGGTCCTTAGCCCTATAGAAGAATTGTCATTTAATTGAGAGCAATTGTTTTACTATATGAGATGTTCCGACTAGGGCGATCTGCTGGGCAAGTTGTATATTAGTGTTACCTGGGGCACTGTTAGTAAAATTGTCTATTCCGTTTCACACGGGGCCCAGAGCTCCGATTACTATTGGTACAGTCTCAATCTTCATTCCCCACATCATGTTAATCTCGATATCCAGGTCCTTGTATATGGACAATTTTTCAATAATTTTCATAGAGTTGTTTCTCGCAGATGGTACTGCTATGTCAATAAGCGTACGCTTTCCTGAATTTCTTGTCTCTTATGATAATATCAGATCTGTTGGCTTGTATTTCGCTGTCAGTTTGAATTGGTATGTCCCAGCAGATAGTTACATCGTTATTTTGGGTAACTGTGTCTGGTTGGTGCTCATACCATCTCTCAGTGGTTTTGATTTTGTGTTTCTTGAATATCTTCCAGTGGACATATGTCGCTACCTTGTTATGGCTGGATATGTTCATTTTTGTTAGTTCCTGGCATCCTGTGATAATATGGTCAACAGTTTCGTGAGATTTTCCGTAGATCCTGAATTTCGGGTTAGTTCCATCCTTGATTATGTGACATTGATAGGATCTGGTTGCGAGGCTTTGGTGCTGAGCTGCAATAATTAAGCCTTCTGTCTCAGCTTTCAACCCGGTGCTCCTCAGCCACTGATGTGTTTTCTGTTGGTCCACATCTTCTTTCCACATCTTCTTTCGTTCTTTTTAGGTATTTGCCATGCAATGACTTGTCCTCCCAGTTTTTCGTAATTTCATTTGGCCAAGTTGTTTTGATTTCTGTTTTATTCGTTTGGCATAGATGGTATTCGACTCGTTTTTGTTGGTAGAATTTCTGGTATATTAAGCTGTTTCTTGGAGAGAGCATCTTCTTTGTTGATGGAGTGCATTTGGTGTTTTACTATTTGTCGGAGTAGCTCATTGTGGGGCATCCTCATTAGGGTAAGCATTTTTCTGACCTTGGCGTTCAATCTTTTAATATCATTCAACTTCCATTTAATAATGTTGAAGCTGTATGTTACTCTGAGTATAGCTCAGGTGTTGACAGCCTTCATTTTATTGGCCCCATTTAGTTTGCTTTCTAGTACCAAACGCACTCTCCTATAATATTCTTTACAAATCTTTTTCTTCATAATTTAATGTTTTATTCAGTCTTTTTCATTAATTCCTAAGTAGTTGTATGTATCATCTACTTCCTTTATCGTGTTGTTGATATCAATGTCAAAATCTGTAGTTTTCCTTAGTTTACCGTCTTTGAAGGTGGCTTTAGCACATTTGTCGATTCTGAAAACAATCCTAATGTCTTCGCTGAAGGTTTTGACAATGATGAGTAGGTTTTTCTGCTGGTTATTTTCCCTGACAAATGTTTTAAGATCATCAATATAAAATATGTGATTCAATTTGCCATTCTGTGATTTGTATCCGAATCAACTGTTCTTCAGTAGGCAGCTGAGCGGCGCTAATGCAAATCAGAAGAGTAGTGATGACAGTGAATCTCATTGGAAGATCCCGCTTTTGATGTTGGTTAGACTCGATGTTAATGACCCATTTGTATGGTTTAGTTTTAGTATAGTCGATTGACTTTCTGTAGTCTATGCATGTTATCGATACATTTCTTTTCCTTGTTTTCCTCTCTTCCAATATTGTTTGTATTGATAATTAGTTGGTCCTTGCAACAGTAGCTTCCTCTTTTACATCATTTCTGTTCTGCTGGAAGTAAATTGTTTTTCTCAAGGAAGTTGTATGTTCTCTCGCTTATGAAAGATGTGAGGATCTTGTATATTGTTGGTAGGCAGGTGATGGGCCTATAGTTCTTCATGTTCTGTATTTCTTCTGGTTTTGGGAGTAGGTATGCTACTCCTCGCATGAGCCATTTGAGACATTTTTCTGGGTTTATGTTTGTATCATTGTAAGCCCATGCGAGGTCCCGGTGGTTTCTTTTTTTTTTTATCCCCAAATTGACTTTTCAGTCTATTCCTGGTGCTTTCCAGCATTGATTTTTTAGATGTCAGCGTTTGATTCAGTAATGTTGATATCCGTCCATTTTTGACATTCTATATATGCTGTTCCTGTTGTTGTTTGATCAATGTAGTTCTTTCGTTGTGCATTTTGCATATTTTCCACATCTTACACTAGAACTCGTCGACTTGGATATTTTGTGGGTCATTTATATCTACTTTATTTTTCTCATTTCTCGATATAGTTTCTTAGCATCTTCTTTGAAGATCTTGCTGCGCCAGAAGAATCTGTTCCTTTTTTTTGTATAACGTCTGATTCACTGAGCATTCGCTTGAATTTGATGTTTCAGATTCTCTTTAACATTTGGTGCTTTAGTCTTATGCTTGATGTCAAGACTTCGTTTCACTTTTATTTCCTTATGTATATACTTGTAAATACATGCAACACCCACCCGGGGGGTATACGCATAGATTACAGCCTATTTTTAAAGAAGCCAAAGAGAGCAGATGATCTCGGCGAAAAGCGTAGTTTATAAATTTACCATTTTCTCTCAAAATCTTCACTATTGTTTCGGATACTAATATACATTCAACATACACATATACATACATACATACATACATACATACACACACATATACATACACACACACACACACACACATATATATATATATATATATATATATATATATATATATATATATATATATATGAATGTATGTATATATTTATATGTGTTAGAAATGAAATCACCCAGAAGGCTGCAAATTTTCACTTGTACAATGTGTGATCATATTGATTATTTTGAAAATAACTGTTGTACAAAATAATGGCGTCTTAAAATATTGAGCTACATACATATCGATTTGGTTTCTTTTTCTTCTAGGTGGCCCTTCAGGACGTTGGCGATTATGGCTCTCCACATCTTCCTGTTCTTTGTAGCTTTTAATAACTTTTATCTTTTTTTCCATCTCTCCCAATCTCTGCTCAGTTAGCAGCAGGTTTTAATGGAACTGGAGGCTTCTTGTCCTGAAACTTCACGTTGACAATGGAGTTCATCATTGACGACAACATCGTTAAGGAAACGAACAGCAAAGAAGAAATTATTTCTGGGATACGAGATAAAGACGACGATATAATACACACACACACACAAACATATATATATATGTGTGTGTGTGTGTGTGTGAGAGAGAGAGGGAGAGTGTGTGTGTGCGTGTGTGTATGTGTGTGTGTGTGTGTTATTCCCACGTGCATTGATAATTCAGACGCAGCAACATATTGATGTGTATAATTTTTTACTTTATGAGTGTAACACACGTAAGCAAATATATGGATGCATTGTCATCATTACACGTATTCATATATTATAAAATTATAAATATATATGTGTTTATGTTCAGAAGAAAATCTCGTACATACACAGGTAAGTATACACACACACGCACATATATATATGTGTGTATATATATGTGTATATATATATATATATATATATATATATATATATATATATATATGCGTATATGTTTAAAATCTGAATATGCGCAGATTAATTATAGTTGTTATATATGCTGTATATTTAAAGTCGATTAACATCTGTCTTTGTTTACAAAAAGACACAATGATATATATATTTAAACAAATATTCATGTATATATATGTATATATGTCTCTCTCTCTCTCTCTCTCTCTCTCTCTATATATATATATATATATATATATATGTATATATGATTTATTTTTACGTAGTCTTGAATTTTGAGTACAAAAAATCTATCTATATTTCTATTAATCGCTTCATTAATATTCATATGTGAGGAAATACTGACAAAGAATTTATCGAAAGTAAAAACACAGTTCTTAAGAGGAAAATTGGAAATATATATATGAATGATTGGTTTGTGCAGCTTATTGTTATAAGGTGCAAGAGAAGAAACTCTTTTGATATGTCCAATCAAACGTAAATCCACGTGCCTGTGATTCACATGGAATGTGAGACAACTCCGTATATCCCACCGGCATTGGTAGTTCTCCCCAAAAGAGAAGATTGGCGCAACACAATCTTTTGAATTTTGGGAAAGGTGTGAATCCACCTTTTCTCCCCCACCCCCAGCTACGGACAAATAAAATTAGCCTTAACGTATTTTAGAAAAAAATGGCATTTTATCATTAAATTTTGCTCTCGTCAAAATATCCTCCTGTAGCCTTGAT